GGGGGAAAGGGAGGGGGAAGCCCCTTTTTTTCTTTTCAAAGCACTTTTTAAAAAAAGAAAGAAATAAAAAACTTTTTTCCTTTCTCTTTTTAAATAAAAACTTTCTAATATGTCTTTTTCTTTGACTTCTTAACATATAAACTTTAAACTTCAATATTACATTTAATCCCTCCCTCCAAGCTGCCCTTATTGAATAATATTTGTTTTCTTTTATAAACATCCCTTTTAACACAGTTTTTTAAACTGGTATATCATTTTCTTTAACTTTATCTTAATACAGGTACTCTCAAACACATTTACAATATCTTTTGCCTACTTTAAAAATTACTTAAGCATTATATGTAAACAAATTTGTAAAAAAATACAGTATCAAATTTTTGGTTAAACCTTTCTTTCAGTTACACATATCAAGCACAGAAAAATCCAGTTGGCTCATTAAGTTTAAGTCACTCCTTCCAGCTTATCTTCATGAAGTAAGTTCTTTTTCATCTCTGGAAGTTTTATCAGAAGACTTATAAGCTTTTCTTTTTATCACAAGATCCTCAACCTTGTTAATGTCTTTAAAGAAAAAGTCCCAAGTTTGCCTTTTTTCTCAATGCTCTCCTTCTTTCAGTTGTGTTGACAGGTTTATATTTGAACCATAATAGTGAAAGTAAATATCAGATTCTTCCAAAACTGCAGCAAACTGCATTTTCAGCTACTTGTGAAGTTGTGAAGCTTGGTAACATTTCTCCACCTGCTTGTATCTCAGAAGTAATTTGGGATAATTTTTTTTATCATCAGAGCACAACTGGTCAATAAATTGGGGTATTTTATTTTGAGACCTTTCAATTATATCTCTAATAACTTACTCAACCATCAGGGAGTCAGAGGATTTTAATCAGGGTCAGAAGATTTTAGCCATCCATAGCAAAGAAAATCAAGCTACAGCTTACAACAATAGTAAACTAAAATCACAGCTTTCAATCTTATCATTCTCAGTCCCTTCACTTTAAAGGCAGAAGAGTTACACTCCAGGGAAAAATATTTCAGAGATTTCTCAATTGAAACTCTTATGTTGCTACACAAGTTGTCTAATTTACTCTTGCTCACACAAAACAGCTCTTTTTGGTTCACCAGCTTTAATGCACAGTTATTTACATTAACACTAAATACTATAAACAATGTATATTTGTTAGTCCATATGAACAATTTCTTCAGTGCATTGCTTAAAGCACACTGACAAGGACAAATTGCAGGCTTCCATTTCATGGACAATAGCAAAACAACCTTTTCTCACAGCAACTTCCCACCAAGTAAAGTGAAAGAACAGTTGCTGAAACATGCCAGAATTTCTATTATATCAGAACTGCCTTATTTTGGTAACATAACATTAGAATCATTACTTTTCATGAAGCTTTGTGTATTGAAAACTCAGCTACTGCAGTACCCTTCCTCATGAAGAATTATAAATCATGGGTGTCCTTAATTCATCTTCAACATCCCTAGCCAAAAACCTAGAGTTTAGGATGCAAAACATTAGAACATTAGAAAAGAGCAGTAATTAATATAATTCTCCTCTAAAAACACTTACATTTTTGGACGTCCTCCAATAATTGCAGTGACTCCAGGTGCTAAAAATGAATGAAATGAAAAAGTAAGCACAGGAACATAAAAAGCCAAAGATAGTTCATAAAGAATGACTGTAATTTTCAGTGTGCAGGTATAAATATATTCCAGAGCCATTTTATACTTTCATAAAGAGCTAAAATTAAATTCTAAAACAGTAATGCTATTTTATGAAATATTGACAATTTAAGAACATCTAGAACAAATGATAGGATTAAGTTTAATTTATTCAATTAAAATAAGAGCAGGGAAACTTACTTTAAAAAAAAAGATATCTGCAGGTAGTCTTTGACCTACAACCATTTCTTTAGCAATTGTTGGAAATTACAACAGTTACAACTGAAAAAAGTCATTTACAACTACAACTACAGCATTCCCACAATGATGTAATCAAAATTTGGATGCTTGGCAATTGGCATGTATTTACAACAGTTGCAGCCTCTTGAGGTCACACAATTGCCATTTGTGAGCTTGTCCGATGGCTTCCAATAAGCCAAGTCAATGGGGGAAGCAGGATTCATTTAATAACCACATGATTCATTTTAAAACCACACTAATTTGCTTAACCAGGGCAAAAGGTTTTTGTAAAATTGGGCATGATTCACTTAAAAACAGCTTTGTTTAGCAATAGAAATACAGGTCCCAATTGTGATCATAAGTCAAGGGCTACCTGTACTGGAGTGGAAGTATGTAAGGAAGAACATTCCTGAGGCTGGTGATTGGAGCTGTTGGATATAAGGGGGGGAGTCAGAGAGACAAAGAGGACCAAGGTACTTTCCAACTCTGCTATTGTATTGTATTGTATTGTATTGTATTGTATTGTATTGTATTGTATTGTATTGTATTGTATTGATGTGAAACCATGAAACCTTAATGAGAAATTATTGGGCTGTAACTGCACTAGTAAGAAAATTAATAGAATAGAATAACAGAGTTGAAAAGGATCTTAGAGGTCTTCTAGTC